ATAGAATGGTTTTTATTATTTATGACAGAAAGGAGATGAGTTTGACCAAAATGAACTTCCTGTCACTGAATTTATAGTGAATGAGTGAGGATTTTAAAATAACAAGTACTTTGAAAGAGATTGTTTCACAGCACTTAGTCAATTTGTAGTAATCAAGCATTCTTTCCTTCTTAAAATTAAACAAAAACAAACAAAAACTCAAAATGGACAGATACCAGCAGGACTCTTTCTTTGGCTGTCTTTATCATAATTGGTGAAATTTAGCATGTCTTTGTTGTTATTTTTGTTAAAACACTATGATAGCTTAGTATAGACTAGCTATTTCAGTTCTTTGTTAACCACATAGCTAATCATTAGGAACCATCATCAAAACATAAAATGTCTTGCTTCAGTATGGCAATTTGCATATTATAAACCCATTCCCACCCACTTCACTGTGTTTCACAGTCTAACCTCTTCTTTGTAGCCAGGTTCAACTCATCATATTTATGCTAACTTACTGTCTCTAGCAGCAGAATGTGCTAACCAAATCATTCCTTTCTTTGTATTTTTTTAATCCAAAAAAAGCATGACATATAGTAGATTTAAATAAAGTTCTAATACACATATTTTTAAGACAAAAAGGAAAATTTGTAGCTCCTCAGTATGCACTGATTTTTGTTCTTGCAAAATTCACATGTTGAAATCCTAACCTCCAATATGACTGTATTTAAAAATAGAACTGATAAGGTGGTAATTAAGAATGAATGAGGTCATAGAGGTGAGTTGCTGATCTCAAAGGATTAATGTCATTATGAAAAGAGACAACAAGGAACTCATTCTCCCTCTATTTCTCCACCATAAAAACACAGAGAAAAAGCAACCACAGACAAGCACAGAAGAGTCCTTAGCAGAAACCAAAGTGGCCAGCACATTCATTATATATTTCTAACTTCCAGAACTGTGAGAAGTAAATTTTTGTTATTTAAACCACACAGTCTATGGAATTTTGGTTATAACAACCCAAAATAGATCAAGACATTTTGGTACTGAGAAGTAGAACGGTGTTTTAACAATTACCTAAAAATGTGGAAATGTCTTTGGAACTGGTAATTGGTAGAGGCTGAAGGAGTTTTGAAATGCATGCTAGGAAAAAAATGGGTTTCCATGATGGGACTGTTGATAGAAATAAGTACATTAAAGGCAATTTTAGTGAAGACTCCGGCCATTAATCATCATATGTCAACTTGATCAGATTAAGAAATACCTAGCACATTAGTAGAGCACACTTTTGGGCATGTCTATGTGGGTCATGGAAGGGTAACCTTGAGTACTATAAATGGTCACTGGCCCCTTCCTCTCCAACACTGTTCTTCTGCTCTGCTTCCTGGCACCCATGAACTGAGTAGGTTTGCTACGCTACACCCTTCTGCCATGATGTTTCTGCCTTGGAAACAGATGACATGGACTGAATCCCCTGAAACCATGAGCTAAATTAAACCTGTCCTTAGGGCCAGGGATTAAGCTCAGTGGTGTCGCCACCTGCCTCACAAGTGCAAGGTCCTGAGTTTGATCTCCAGTACCAAAAAAAAAACCTGTTCTTAATTTTGTGGGTTAATTTGTGCAGAGTGATGGGGAAAAAAATGACTAATAGAGACTCAAAAGGAAGAAAGGAAAGCTCAACAGTAATTCTCCATCTTCTTAAAGAAAAAATAATCAAGAACAGAGTGTTAATAGGAACAGAGCTATGAGAAACTGTGCTGTAAAAGTCTCCAACAGATGTGAGAAACATGCTATTGGAAATGGGAGAAAAGGCAATCCTTGTTATATATAAGACTCTAAGACTTGACTGATCTGTGTTCTAGTGTTTTGTTGTTCTGTGGAAGATAGAACTTACAAGTGATTATATTTAGATATTTAGCTGAGGATATGATACTTCCAAGCAAATTGCTGAAGGAGTGGCTTGGTTCCTCCTAACTGCTTATAGTAAAATGTGAGAAGAGAGATGAATTGAAAATGAATTAGTCAGCAAAGAGAAACATGAATTTGAAGACTTGAAGAATCTCAGCCTCTCTATATTGGATAAAATGAGAAGACTTGTTCTGAAAAGAATACTAAGTGTGTAGCTGAACAACCATTTAATAATCAGACCAGAATGGTTTTAAACCATGAAGTTAAGCTGCCACTACAGCAGAAGCCAAAATTAGAGACAGAATTACACCAGCAGTAACACTGCCAGTTTGAATTTAAGGGGACAGAGAAAGGACAAAATGAAGGATGACTGACAGACTTCTTGGATTTTACAGAAGGGAACCATAGATTAAAGAGACTATGTGTGTGTGCTGTTCCTCACGCAAAAGGAATATAACATCAAAGCCAACTCAGAGATCATCAGGACAGTTTCAAAGTGTAAGGACATCCTTCAACTTCAATAGGTCACAGAACTTCCAACTAGAGCTTTGGAGATTGGGCCATATTACAGGGGCAGGAGGGTAGAACCACCAGATATAGGCTGGAGAAGCAGACTGCCACACCAATGGGTCCAGAGTTGCAGAATCGTCAAATCAAAGAAGATTATTTTCAAACCTTAAGAGCTAATAAATCTAATGGAAATTGCTTTATGAGGTTTAAAACTTGATGCAGACTTCTTATTTATCCTCTTTACCATAGGCATGTCATACACATTCCTGTCCTATCACTGTATTTTGGAAGTAAATAGCTTATCTGGTTTCCTAGGTTATAGCTTGCCTAAAGATGAACCATGCCTCTGCTCTCACCCATATTGACTTAGATGGTATATAGGTGAGATTTGGGATGTTACACTTGAGAGTTCATATTGGACTGAGTTAAGACCTCTGAGGCTCTTAGGATGTAATGAATATACTTTGGCATGTGATAAAGACATGCCCTTGAGAGAGAGCAAGGGCAGAATGCTACAGACTGAATTGTCATCCCCCCATGCACATAATGTCACTGTATGTGGAAATATGGTCATTAAGGTTAAATGAGATCATGAAATTGGGTCCTAATTCATGTCTTTATAAGAAGAAGTATTAGAAAGCCCTCTTTCTATCTCTCCCTACCACATAAACACAGAATGAGAAGGTGCCCTGTATAAGTCAAGAGAGATCCCTTATTTTGGGAAGACCCTGACCAAAGGAGTGTTTGAAGTGAACGCCAAAAAAAAAGGAGACTTTTTGAACAGTAGTTCAGGACTTCTGGAATGTATGGCTACAGTTTAGAGCAGAAGCTTCAGGACAGCAATTGGCAGAATTAAAAGCAGTTTGTTCTCAGAGATGTTTGCTTTGGCCATTGTTTTCCATCTGCCCTAATAAGATTACTTAAACTAGGTTGACCTGTATCACATAACAAGCTATCCCATTCTAGCCCTGTCCTGTGGCCTAAATTCCTATACGGTATGCTACAAATACTTTTCTTCTACTTTTGTTCTCATGTTCTTGAGTTATAAATAAATAGCCACAGAGTTCTCAGCTCACTTCTGTTTCCCTGTAGCTATCTTATGCTGAGGAAGCAGCCCCTCTGGGTCCTTTCGGTGGCTGAACTAAAGTCTTGTCTCTGAGTAATCTTTGTCCTCTATGCAGCCATCAGTGCACACTGTGACACCTTACCAGAAACTGAATCTCAAATCAGGCAACTCATTCACCTTGGACTTCCCAGCCTCCAGAACTATATTCATAGTTTTTTTTTTAATTTTTGCAGTGCTGGGGATTAAACCATGTTGTGCAAGTGCTCTACCACAAGCATAGCCTTCCAAAACCATAAAAAAATAAATTTCCGTTGTTTAAGACACATAGTCAGATATTTTGTTAGAGCAGCCTAAGCTAATGAGAATACTCCTGTTGGTCACCCTCCCATCACAACACTCACCTTCTGTCATACTTCTAATTATCTTTCCTTAATTTATTCTTCTTGATGCATATTATCATCTATTTACATAATGTATTTTAAATTTATCCTGGTTATTTTCTGTCTTCCCTGATTAGAACATAAGTTCCATGGGAATAGGTATTTTTATTTTTCTGTTCTATTCACTGCTATATTTCCTAGAATAGTGTTTTATCTTATCATGGAAGCAGTAACCTTTAAAATGCTGAGAAAGCCATGCATGGTGTTACAGTTTATATCTGGATGCCCCCCCCACCCACCAATCCTCATACACTCAGAGTCGAGACCTGTGGAAAGGGATTACATTATGGGGGTGGTAGAGCTGGCTTGGTTTTAGGAAGTGGAGTCTGCCTGAACAGGTGGGTCACTTGGTGTAGGGTTTATCTCCCTTCTCGCTTTCACCCTTCCTTCCTCTCTCTCTGCTTTCTGGTAGCCATGCCATAAACAGCTCTCCTTTACATAGATCCTTCCACTATACCTTTCTGCTTTGGAGCCAGCCAGCTTGGGCCTAAAAACATGAGCCAAAACAAGCCTCTACTAATTTAAGTTGTAGGTGTCTGATATTGTGTGTCAACAACAAGGGAAGTAACTAAGACAATGCCTGTAATCCCAGCACTCTGGGGAGCCCGAGGCAGGACGATCACAAGTTGCCAAGTGTGGGCAATTTAGCAATTCTAAAAAAAAGAGAGAGAGAGAGAAAAGGGGAAAAAGGCTGGGGATGTGGTTCAGTCTGAAGGCCTTGGGCTTAATCCCCAGTACTGCAAAAGAAATGCTGAGAAATACTGACTTCAGCCTAGAAACTCAGGAAAGACAAATAAATTACATAATGAAGAAGCTCCCAAAATAAAATATAAATGTGTATAGTAATTAAAACTAAAACAAAAAGGATACAAACCTAGTGTAAGAAGATTGTACAAATATAGCCTTATAGAATAATGTGCCCTTATCAGCACTCCATAAATTAGTTCTCAAATTTTGTAAGAACAAATTACCAAGAATAATGAGTGATTCCAGGAATTTTCAACACATAATACTCTGTGGTCAGTCCAAGAAAGCAATATGTATGATTTGCTTTGTAGGAGAGTAAATACTCTAAAATAATGGGCACAAGTCTATTAAGCATAATAGTTATCATATTTCAATTTATTTCCATGTAAATTGGTTGCAACATGCTGAGTTAGTACAAAGAATTATAAAAAGACAATTAAATGCATTGAAAAATATAAAAAATAAGTGCAGCGTATTAAACTACATGATTTTTAACTAAAAATCTTTGGATTGTGAAAGCACCACTTACCTCCCTATTTGAAATCTGGCAACAAAGTTACTCCCAAAAGCATATCCTATATTGAATTAGATCATCATCCCACAGAATACAAAATGTACATTTCTAGGCATATGTATGTTCAACAACATACCAACAAATTTTGGTAACTACTCCATGTCAAACATTATTAAAACAGGGTATTAACTCATTAATGTTTTCATTTAAAAAGAAAGATCTCTTTCCTCATTACAGTATGCATTTATAGAGGAGAGATCTGTCAAATAAATTACTGCAAAGTGGTTTAAGCTAAACCTTATAACACTTGAATTATATAATTGGGGGCAAATAACCTTTAAAGTGAAAGACAAATGGAAAATTTAAGAGCATTTAATTTGCATAAATGCAATGTTAATAGTCTATTCCTGGTTACATATTCTAGACTTAATCTATATACGTCACTACAGTAGGCCCTTGAAATGTTTATAGGTCAGTTTTAATTTTTTCCAATTTTATTTTACCATAAAAAGTAATACAGAAGTACGTTATCATACAAAAATAAGATGATCCTATGAAAATAATTTAGTGTCATTCTAGAAACATTTTAGCATTAGGACCATCTTAATAGTTTTTGTGTTGTGAGCTCCTACTTTGAAATAAACATTTGTATTTTACAATCTTGTGCATCCAAAACTCATATTTTGCTTTTGAACTCTTAGAACTGAATTGAAGAGTTTTCTTCAGGTCAACAATCACTGTGACTTTGGTCCAAGGGAGAAGCCATGGGAAAAAGAACTTTATATATTATAAGATTTGATCTTCCTTTTTCCTGAATTTAACATTAACATTTGACCCAAGTTATTGGCTTTGAAGTTTTGTCCACTAAATTTCTACTATAAACACTGAAATGCTTCTCAGACAATACTGTATCAGCATTAACGATGAAATAGAACAAACCATCCATTGATTAACTATCATGATTTTAATGCCATCCATAGTCCATACTCTCTAACTAATTGGAAAATGCTTGCAGTGCATGACTTCAATTACAAGCCATAGTTGCATAGGAAAATATCAGTTTACACTTAGCACAATATATTTTCTTTTCTTGCTTTCCTTGACTCGTGTTAATGTATTAAGGATAATGAATCACCATCTACCACTGGAATAATTTGACTCTACAAACCAGGGTAAAATTCATTTCTCCAAGGAAATTTTCCTGCTAATTGTTACCTGTCTTTCTCCCTGGGACAGTGTTGGGAATGTGAGCTAACCTCACTTATTGAGGGGTAGAGGTATTTGGAGGGACTGAGACTATTCTTTGCAGTTCATTTCTATAAAATTTTAAATGGCTGGAGAAACTAAGAATTGAAACTCTTATTCTTCTTTCATTTTATTACATTTTCCTACTTAGGATTTAATCCTGAAATTAAAGGCTATATGAATGTTTGCCACACATTTGCTAGGGATCATTACAACGCATCAGTTGGCAGGAGCTATAATTTACTCTTAAAGAGATTCATGGAACCACCTAAATGACCAATCTCTTAATTTACTTTCAACTTATTTTTCAAACTTGCTTTAAAGTACTTGGATTTTTCTCACACTGGTAATTCTCAAAAGGGTTAAGATACTTTTAAGTCTTAAGTATAATTATGCATCTACGTGTGATTTTGAAGGTGAGCATTCTTCCTATGTAAATCAATTTGATATATAAAAATGTGAAATTATGTAATGATACACCATGAAATATATGAGCACAAGCATGAAAGAATAAATTCTATAGTTTAGCCTGGCCTATAGCGTTCATTTTTAAATGGTTTGGTAGCCTTAAAGATCATCACATCCATGCTCTCCAACAAAAGAAAAAGCAAACAAACTATGGAAACTTTATCCAGATATGGATAGATAAATGTATTTTATTGATAGTATCTCTGAAATAAGTTCAAAACTACTGAAGTTAATCTTGTCCTGAAATAGCATAAAGCTAGCCTACCAGTGGTACTTTCTTATCTAAAAATCATATTTGTGAAAAAGATAAAATATGCAATTTCCAAACTCTAGCTCCAACAAAACTTAAGCAGAAGGCAGAGCCTTTTATGGAGTGGGAATGTAAAAATTAGAGCTATCTGGTCTGAAGAGCCCAAGCAATTCCAATATTCTTAGCAAAACAGACCAATGTCAGTATCTTAGTTCTTGGGATACCAATTTTCCTGAACATGAAAACATTCTTATTTAGGACATGAAAATCTCAGGAATGAATGTATTGAAGGGTATAAGGACCAGTGACTTCCAGTTTGTCATGCATTTCTATTTGGTTTGTTTCTATGAATTCCATATCCCATTGTATAAAGTAGTATTTAGTCATATTGATGTTTAAATGGCTTTTGGGAGAAGAGGAAATTGGTACATTTGCTAGGCCTATTTTATGTATTGTTTTCTTGTTGTAGATGATCCTGGAGTTTTACAAATGGCTCGTAAATATCTCAAATCTCTTATGACAAAAGTATTTCTCTATTTAAAAAATTAACTTATAGCAAAATAGGAATAAAACAATAGAAACTACTGTGGTAAAATCATGTTTACCCTTCAGTACATTAAAACTAAATGCATACTAATTCTTATATAAAATAACTAAGTAAATTTGCTTACTAGCAAAGATATTAAAAATTATTGATAAATCTTGACCAGTGACTATACATTTACTAAATCTCACCATACTTATAGTAGAGGTAATATGTGTAGGATCTAACAATAAAAATGTCATCCAAAGTGCCAGTATGTGGCCTCTTCAGGGTAGTTGCTAAAGACAAGATCTGTACTGCCTCAAAAGGATCTCAGACTTCACTGTGGTCACAGAGTTTGTTCGAGCTCTGAAATAGAAAAGGAAGAAATCAGCATTTATTTGATACAGAGTCAACTCTTAAATTGGTCCCATAGTGAAATAACAGTATTAACAGAAGCCAGCCAGCCAGCCATGCCCTGAAATTGAGTTTCCTAGGAAGTATCAGAGGATAGTGGCATAAAGATTTAGGTTGAAGATCAGACTGCTGGCTTTGAAACCAGCTCTTCCACTTGCAAATGGTGTAATATCCTTGGGCTTCATTTTCGCCATTTCTAAAAATGGATTAAATAATAGAATCTCTTCATTCGATTGTGATAAATTTAATTAATTAATATAGGTAAAGTCCTTAGAATATCCCTTGGAGCACAGTAAGCACTCAATGCACGTTAGGTGTTGTAATAATAACAATGTTGTTATAATTATTTTGTAAATACACGCTGTTCTGACTGCATATAATAGGGATGTCTCTTGGAGGCACCAGTTATCATTCTAGAGTTGAGGAAAGATAAAATAATTCAAAAGTCAAAGAAAAGTTGAAGGGAATCACATCTTGGGGAACAATTATAAAACTAAATCTCAAAGCTGTCTGTGGGAGGTAATTATTACCCTTCAAATCATGTGAAAACTGGGCTCTGCAAATAATGTTTTTAAGATGGCAGCCAAAATAAGCTTAGATGCAGTGCTGGTGAACCTTTCCAAGCTTTCAGTGAAACAACTAGCCCACTCTGCACGCATGCCACAGGTTCACTGCCCTTGGTTAGAGGCAAAAGTAAGAGAGCAGAAAAAAAGCTGAAAGGATATATTTAGAATTTCTGCATTTGAGAGAGATGAATTCAAAATTCCTGGACAGTGTGGCTTGTGGAAGAACCTTTAAACAAGCCTTAAACTTTTGATTGGTGATCACCAAATCCCCTAAGCAGTGCCATTGTTGGAATAATTTGTTTTATAACAAATTACTAAACAGTTGTTCTTAATGGTCCAAAAAAGCAATGAAAACATTCCTTTACTTTGCAGCAGAGGACTCTGGGATAGAGAGAGCCATTTTAATAGATTTTAGATGCCAGTGGGGTAAAAACTAATATAAAAAATATAAAGCCCTTAATTTTACATTCTAGTTTTTCATACAATTCCTGCATTCTACCTCGATCAACTCACCTTATTTGAATAGATATTACTTATTGCAGCAGATACTGATTCAAAAAAAATTGGTCTCTCTGAGTCTAGATTTCCATAGTACTTCATTGCTTTTATCAGGGAATCTACAAGAAAGTACACATGATATAAAGATACATGGAACAGCAGAAGGATCACATTCAAAGCCAGCCAAGGTCACTCCGTTACCTGTGCAATTGGCTAATGATACATCCACATTCATATCCTTACAGTCCATATAAACCTGGAAAAATCAAAATATTATACCTATGATTAATTCAGAAAAGCTGATAAAAAAGGAATAAAAAGAGGCTTTAAAAGAGAATCTACAAAAAAACAAAACAAAACAAAAAGCACATTTTTATGAAGTTAAGCCACCAGAGGGAGGCATTGTTACATAGTCAGATAGTCTGGCATAACCTGGCAAGTGGTTTGAAGACTAAAATTAATTCAGCCAAGCATCTACCTTTACTGCAACTAAATTTGGCTGTTTCTATTTCCCACTGTATTTAATAAAAATCTAAGCATTGCCTTTCTTTTCCCATAATAATGACATAAAATTGTTCTCCACCTCTTTTATTGGAAGTCAAGGACCCATTTATGAAAGTGATGAAGGCTGACCTTCTGGTGAATTAATATCTTGCAACCATTTAAGCATATTCATGGGCTCTATAAATCCCAACCATGAATGGAAAATTGAAAACCTCACTAGGATCTAAGACAATTTTGATCTTCCAACTTCCCTTTTTAAAAGTCCATCAAGAGGAGAGATGTTAGTGGCATGCTTTAGAGTCCTGCCGGTTAAATTTTGGAAAATCTCAAGTAGAAGCAATGTATGAAACACTCTGATCTTAAACTTACCCAGACCAAAGTCATAGCATGAAATTCAGTGAAAGTGATCTAGAAGTTTTAATTACAGTAGAATAGATTTTATTATATAACAGTGATATATCTTATATGAAAATTACATAAAGCTGCATTTATAATAATGGCATATGTGATACACTCAAAATTTCCCTATTTTTCCAGCAGGAAGCAGTTTTCTATATGTGATAAGAATTCTGAAATAATAGGAGTTGTATCACTTCTAGCATAAATGAACAAGCAAAATATATATGGGCCGAGACTTTGATATTAAATAAATGGCTCCTGATCTTGTTAATTTAAAGTGATTAATTCAAGGTGACCTCTCAGTGTTCGGCTTTTTGTTAAGCTCAATGAAGCACAAACACATAGTTATGGGTGGTTTGTTGATGCTGATAAGTATAATCTCCAGTTCACTGACCTCTCTAGTGTCCCAAGTAAAAGAACAAACAGAAGTCACTCCACTTCCTTCAACCTCCAACTCCTGGGAGATTTTGCTTATGCTAAAGTGATGAAGCGAGCAAGCCAGGAGTGTTATTAGAAGCCAGGAAAACATGCATGGCTAAAGAGCCTCTGTGGTTCTTTATTCTGGACCCTCTCCCAGGGAGGTGGAAACTAAGAAATAATATTTACTAGTTATGATATTATTTGTCCCTTCAGAAGTTGCTTATTTATTTATTTATTTTTTGGTACCAGGGATTGAACTCCGGGTCCTTGCGTTTGCGAGGCAGGAGGCAGGCGGTTGAACCACTGAGCTAAATTCCTGGCCCCAGAAGTTGCCTTTTTAAATGAGAAGAACATAATAGAGGCTAGCATCACTGAGTATTTACTAAATGCTAGACATTTGTTATTCATAATATAAGCCTCACCACTTGATTAAATGGGTGTTTCTCTTCATATCTATCTATCTATATATATAGAAAACACATAGTTATTTTCTGCCAATTTAAAAATAAACTGTATCAGTCAATTTATTCCACCTAGGCTAATGTTTCTCCACTTGTGTGAGAAACAACTGTGGTTGTTTAAAGATTTTAGGTCAGAACTATGACTCAGAGGACTACATGGAAAATGAGAATCGGGACCATCTTGAAGCACACAGTTGATAATGGCGCTCTTCTAGACCTCAGCAACGCTCAGCAGGTAAAAGTGCCAAACACAAAAATCCTTCCAGCTCTGGAAGGCTGAGGCAGGAGGACCAAAAGTTTGACCCCAGCCTGGGCAGCTTAGCGATTTACAAGGGCCCATCTCAAAATTTAAAATGAGGGCCAGGAGGTAGCTTAATGGGCAGTCCCTAAATTCAATCCCAGTACTGCAAATATAAATAAATAAATAAATAAATAAATAACCTACAGTGAATGGAGCAGCGGGACAACATTTTTTACAATACAGCTTTAGTTGCAAGAAAACATAAAGTAGTCAGGTTGAGTCTGATGTTCAATTGTGCAAAGCTTTTATAATGAACACAAAAATAAAAGGGTAACCTGCCGAAAGTAGCTATTGCATTTAATACCTAAAGTATTTACATTTTATTTTTTTTGTATTTCTTTGCTTTCTAAATGTCTGCTAATACAAAAACAAAAATCACCTCATCTTTACAAGTGAATTAACTGAGATCCATAGAAAAGAGACAACTCCCCAACTCCTGGGGTGTGGCAAGTGTGGCTTTTGCTTAGCAGTTTCCCTCCACACACACCCAGCCTTATTGTCATAGGAGAGTGAGATTGAAATTGACCTTTATACCACCTTGTGTTTAAAAGGTTGAACTTGTTAACGTAAATTTAAAATGCAAATGAATAGAGGCTCACACATACAACATTAGAGAAAACAATCAAAATCCATCTGAGACCCTATCAAGGCTTCTAATCTGAACCCTTTAAATTTCCACTTCTGTCTACAATAAGTAGCTAACACAAGACTATCCCATCTCCCTCTGCAAGCAGACAATTGAACTAAAACACAGGCACAGCTGTACTTAGACCATGGCCTCAGCACAGCAACACAGTATTGAGCTTTCTGAGAAAAGGACAGATAAGGCCAGCCCCACCACCAGCTCACCTTGTTGCCCCAAAGCATGATGAGGGGACCCAAGTGACATCCAGAAGCTTTACTTGGGCTCAGCAGACAGAACTGGAGTCCAGGGAGAGTTGGGTAGGTCAGATTTGTGGAGAGAGAATTGAAAGGAGGTAGCTATGCAGAGATAGAATTCCAGAAATGTTCATAATTTTTTTTATGGCTTTGGCTGAAAGTGAAGTCACACATAGGGAGGCGCCAGAAGTCTGGGGTAAGGAAACTTGTAGGGATCAAGCACAAGAAGAGGTGCTGAGTGTAGGCACAGAGTTGGAAGGGAAGTGAGAGCACTGAGGAGTAGATGCTGCCCCACCCTTAAGACCCCACCCCAAATTAGGCCATGGAGAGAGACCGCTCAAAGAAATGAAGAAGGAGTGAATTCCTTATTGACTTCATGTTCACTCAAAAAGAAGAAAAATTTTCCAGAAATGCGTCAAAGTCTTCCTTAAATTCCCAAACTTAGGTCTTCCTCCTTAGGTGGAAATGGGGGTTTGAAAGACCAGGGATGATATTACGTGAAGATGAAACTGGCCGTGATGTGGGAAAAGAGTTTGCTGCCTCCAGTACCATTTGCTTATCATGTAGCCTGTGCCCTGGAAAGGACTTTTCTCTTTCTTTCTAGAAGTCCTGTAAGTGGTGTGTCCAGAAGATACTATGTCCATCACACCTCAGGTCTATGTCCCGTGACTACCCATGAGAACACCCCAGTCCTGGCCCCACACATACACCCCTGAAGCCCGACAGGATCTCTTGGACACAAATTTACAATGCTGTAAGGCACAGAGACCCATGTCCTTTGTGAGGAAAAAGGTGAAATAAGTATTGTAAGAAGGCTCAGACTATGGAGCTGAGAGAGTGGCTGGTGAAAGCTCTGCTCCTGAAGAGAAAGGAAAACATCAGTCCAAATCAAGATTGTGCAAAATACCTCAACAAGCATGGAGACTCCAGAAGAGTCAAAAAAGGTCAACCCACCGCAATCCAGGACTAAAGACCACTTCTCAGTAAGACAGGGCTGTGAAGCCTCTTCTGTAGGAAGAACAGAGACTCAAATTAAGGACCATTCTTAGACATTTGATTATATTAAGCAATGAGGAGACAACAACAGTCTCATATTGTTAAACACTAATTCTACACACACTTTAATTGTGACACTTTTCAGTTAATTTCTAATTATTTCTGAACACTTTGATTTTTTATTAGAATGTTATTTCAGGTAATTAAGACATAACTCAGAAAAAGATGAGATAGTTTACCAGTACCATTTCACTGGTAAACAAAGTCTCAGATGACAACTCACAATGTGGGAAAAAATCTTCACCTGCTCTTCCTCAGACAAAGGTCTACTATCTAGAATCTATAAAGAACTTAAAAAGATCAGACCTCCCAAATTTAAAGACCCAATCCAAAAATGGGCATCTGAAATGAACAGACCTTTCTCACACAAAGAAGTAGAAATAGCAAATAAATACATGAAAAAATATTCAACATCACTGGTCATTTGAGAGATGCAAATGAAAACAATGCTGAGATTCCACTTCACTCCAGAAAGAATGGCTGCTATCATGAAATCAACCAATAACAAATGCTGGCAGGGCTGTGGGGAAAGAGGAACCCTGCTCCACTGCTGGTGGGAGTGTAGACTGGTGCAAGCACTGTGGAAATCAGTATGGAGATACCTCAAAGAACTAGGACTGGAAGTCCCGTTTGACCCTGCTATTCCACTGCTGGGGATCTTCCCCAAAGAATTAAAAGAATCATACCACAGTGATATATGTGCGCCCATGTTCATAGCAGCACAGTTTGTAATAGCTAAAACTTGGAAACAGCCCAAATGCCCATCAACTGGAGACTGGATAAAGAAAATGTGGTTTTTTTATAAAATGGAGTACAACTCAGCCATAAAAAATGAGAAATTAGAGACATTTATAGCTAAGTGGATGCACATTGAGAGAATACTCTGAAGTGAAATAAATAGGACACACATGTGTAAACACCGAATAGTTTCTCTGGTGTGAGAAACTAAAAGTGTAAATAAGGACTAAATGTATAATAGGTAATGTGAAATAGGAAGAAAAGGGGCAAAGGGGAAGGAAGTGGGAGGGCTAGGGGAAAGGATAGAAGGGAATGGGATTAATATGAGAAAATGGAAAAATAGGAACAAAATTTTTGTAAATAGGGAGGAATGAAGGGGTTGAAGGGAGGGCTGGGCAAGGGTGAAAAATAAGAACCAAGAGAGACTATGTAAAGGTGCAAATTTCCAATGATGAATGTCATTATATTATAAACCTAAAATGTACCAATGATTAGAATGAATAATCGAAAATGTAAAATAGGAAGAAAAGGTCCAAAGGGGTAGGGGTAGTGGGAGGGGCAGGAGAAAGGAAAGAAGGGCAAGGAAAAATGCTGAGAAATGGAAAAAATGGAAATAAAGTCTTTGTAAATAGGGAAGGGTGGAGGGTGTGAAGGGAGGGCTAGGAATGGGGAAAAAATAAGAACCAAGATGCATTATGTAAAGGTACAATTCCCAATGAGAAATGTAATTGTGTTGTATACCTAAAATGTACCAATAAAAGAATTTAATAAAAAAAATTAAAAAAACAAAGTCTCAGAAAATTTCAGTGCTTTTGAAACTCTATATATACAGTTAGTACAAACCACAGACTAGAACAGAGTCTTCAAGACAGTTTGAATAATGCACTTTTTACAATATCCCTCTTCCTTTCCTGGGTATTCCCAGAGGTAAACCCTGCTTTGTGATGCCTGAAGCTTACAAAATAATTTTTTTAACTTTTATTAGTACATGTTTGCAGTCCAAATTGATTACATTCACTCTAGAGAACTGGTTCATATACATAACACATTTCTTTTTTCCCTTCTCTCCATCTTCCTTTTACTTTTCCAGCATCAGATTTATTTATTTATCTTATAAGATCATATAAAGTTAATTTTCATACATACAAATTATAAATCAGACCAATAGGCCAAAGAACATATAAAGCATATAGGACAATTGTACTAAGGAAAGGTACTCTTTTAGATACATTATCTGAACTGGATTATAATACTTATTTTCTCTCTCTTTTTTTCCTACTATCTGTCTTTTATTATATATATATATAATATACATGTATTCATATAAGAGAAAGTGTGCAATATTTAAGCTTGTGTGTCTGGATTACTTCACTTAACATTATGTTCTCAAGGTTTAAAACAAAGATCCACATTGCTGGGGTTTGTCCCACAGCCTTGGAAGGGATCTGTGGGAGGGACCTTGAAAATAAAGTGTCATTTGGTTCACAGCGAATCTGCCTAAATCCACCCCAGATTATACCTGACCAAAATAAAATGATTTTACTGTGGTACTCATGGCCCCTTTCTGATTGACATTGTCAGTGCCACAGTTTCCTCATATGTGATGACATTTCCATTTGCGGAGCCTGTCTAAAAAGTGTCATGACCCTCAGGACTGATTATGTAGGTTTAAGATTCCTTCAGCATTAGTAAGGAAAGTCTATCAAATAAACTCTGACTCATTCATTATGAAAATCTCTGAAGAAATTAATTCTTAATTGGAATAGTTTTGCCATTTAAAAAGCTCAAGATTTTCTCTCATTGTAGCTATGTAACAGTGGGAATATATGTTTGTATTTAGGCAAAAAATGTGAGATAAAGAGTTCATAAAAAAACTGCCACATAGAGATTAAAAACAGGAGAGCGTGGAATATAAAACAGACCCTGAAAATTTTTACATGGCAATAACTGGTAGAAAAAGGAGATTACCATGCAGTAACTTTTAATGTATTTGGTAAGGGCATTCAGGTATAGGATTTGTTTTTAAGTTTCATTGATTAATAACTAGAGTATTAGTATATTCAAGAAATTTTTTTAAATGTAGGTGATAAATGAGTGAAAACCTATTCCTTTCTTCGAGGAGCTTATAATACCCTTGAATGCCAAGGATAGGATTGGTATGTAAACAACATATGATTAAAAATGATAAAATGAAAAGGAATGGGAATTCACAAAAAAGGAGACAGCTTTGAAGGAAATGACACACAGATGTGAGCATTTCAACCAAACGAATGGCTTTAATTAAACACTAATGAGAGCTTAAGATCACAGACTCCTCCAGCTCCCCATCGAGGGCGGACCTGGGCCCACACTACAGTCTTGTGTTCTGCTTTCCTGTTTCTCCAGTGGGAAGAGGGCTAAGCAGTTTGCATAGATTCAGACAAATGTTTCCATTGGCGTCACATGGTAAATTAGAAGCTCAAACAAACTTTAGCTCATCCATTGAGCACTCAGTTATCACTATTTGCCTAATTAAACATAGGACTTACCTCTACAATGGTAGGGCTTTTATTCATACTCTCGGGTATAAGGTATCCCTGCTCATTGTAGGGAAAGATAAAGATGAAGAAAAAAGAATATTTACTCTAAGCAAAGAATCTTCATTCTACTCAACAGTGGAAGTTTGGGTTATAGATGTATTTTTATATAATTTTAACAATTATGTATTAGGTAAGCAGAAAACACAAAATACATATGACATACATGATATACATATGTACATATGTCAAAATTTGTTTTAGAAAATAAAATCTGTATGGTTTATTTAAAGGCAGTAGTGAATTGGAACCACCTCACACCAATTGTATACATATCTTTCCAACTCCTTGCAGAACAATAGTATTTTGGTAGCTTGAAATCAGTCATGGGAGAAGCATTTACATCACAGGAATTGACAAGCCCTACAAATCATTGCTTCTCTATAACCCCATCAAATCTCCCCTGCTTAAGACATGCTTAAGATATGGCAGGATATTACTGCTTAAAACTAGGTGCTCTTGTTAAAGAAAATAATCAATAATTTAAAAAACTATATAGTAGCTTTGATTAAATAAATGATTTAAACCATGACTTATTTGGCAATAGATCTTAAAATGACAATGATAAGACAATTTGATATTAAAACCAGTCTTCTTTTAAAACTTTTTCTATAGCACTGTTCTTACCAAATAATGTATGTTTAATAAAATTAAATACTACCTAGTCTGAAATATGCTAAAGTATAAAATTATTTGCTCAAAATTTCTGTGGAAAAATAGTATTACTAATTATCCTAAAAATCAATGAAGTATGAATTTTGAGATCTTTAATTCTTACTCTTTACTAAAACATAAGTTATACAAAAGAAATTAGTGAAAATAAACTGTAATCTGAAACAAATTAGCAATTGTTTGATTCAGAAAAGATACAAATGCATCACTTTTCCTGAAAGAAGCTACATAAATTGTCACCTAAAGCCATATGGGATAAGTTCAATCATCCCATTTTATAGCCATAGAAGACAAACCTACTCAATCATGGTACTTTTTCCCACTGAGTTCAGACAAGACCTTACAAGTTTTATCAACTCAGTGCTTCAGGAAGCCACTCGTAGTTGATCTGAATTTCATTTGTCTTTAGAATTTAAAAATACTATTGTGAAAAACAATATGTGTATATATTAACAAGGGACATTGATAAATCTATCTAAATGACTAGAAAATAATGATAAAAAGGCACTGAATATTTTTAAGGAAAAAGTCCTATTTTTCCTTTCTATTCTACCATATTTATTTCACTATTGAATTGTACTTGCCATTCTCTTTATTTTCTTATATTTATGTCATAATTTAGGTGATACTAAATTCTTAACTATGAAAATGTTTGTATTTTATCAATTTTGATATAAAAACTTTACTTTCATTATCTCAGAATGTATTCATGCTACTGCTCGCTGTGTCATTTATTTTTATATTTGAGTTTCCTCTTTGCTATACTTTTAATCAAAATACTTACATATTTTCAGCCCATCCAAAACAAAACAAAATAAAACAACAACAACAAAAAGATTCATACTATGTAGTTGTAGGTAGTTGTTTAAATAAGCTATTTTAAAAGAAGCAATTCAAAATGTTTCTTTTAAATTAAAAAAAAAATCCTAATGGTGAAGTTACCAATTCATTCAAATTAAAATTTAA